TGAAAGAGGTATTAAGAGAATCAAAATTATAGTTTCCTCGGCAAAGATTGCTGCCACCTCTGAGCCTGCTGATAAGGTGCCAGAAGCAATTTTGATTCCAAATCACAGTAGTCCTGGAGATCGAGCATCACAAGCACCAAGAAAGACTTAGACTGCAGAAGATGAAAGTTCTAGAGATCAAGTATAGTTCTCCCCTTTTTTTATGTACTTTTTATATCTGATTTTCTGTCACAATCTTCAATTTCAGACTCCTTTTTCTCGAATATACAAAATCAAACGACCAATAGAACCGAGGCCGCTCCAAGCTATTCTGAGTCTTTCGAAAGATGAAGTTGGAGCTTCTCACATTAACATCAGCCTCCCGAAATCACCATCAGACGATGAATTTTTAGACATGTCGCCTAGGACACGAAATGTAGGTATGTGCCTTGTTGTTGTTTGCTGTACCCCCCTCTTTTTTTTTGAAATCATGCTCCATTTTTTGTAGGTTTTTCAAGCATCCCTGAAGAACTAAATCTCTCCATGAATCCAAACTTTTTGCAAGATCAGACTAGCGAGAATGATGGGCGAATCGATGCACTTCAAGGAATAGATGGTATTCATGATTCTCATGACCTTCCTTGCAAATATCCGGGCACCATCAATAGAGGTACTTTGTTGCATATCATGGACAATTTCAATGCTGAAGATGAAGCAAATTCAGGGACTGTGAGAGCTAACATTTCAGAGATCAATCAAGGAGTTCCTGTCGTTCCATCTTCGTTGGCTTTAGCCAGTATTCCGCCTTCACAAAAAAATAATCATCGGGCTGGACCAATCTGTTCTTTCATGTCTGGTCCTCCGCCTGGAATTACCCAAGATTCTCCAAATCTGAAGGCTGCTCTGGAAGAAGCCATGACTAATTACCTTCAAAAGTGTTTTAAGGATGTCTTGAAATATGGATTCTCCAATATTCAATCTTGGTGGGATGAAAATAACTTAATTCTTCAAAACATGATTACCAATAACTTAATTCTTCAAAATATGATTACCAACTCATTCCATATAGACCAGCGCCTTTGATGAAGCGTATGGATGTGTTTCAGCAAAAAGTTGACTCTTACTTATCTGAAAGAAAACAACACTTGGATTGTCCAACCGTTGAAGAAAAGGCCGAGGAGATGGAATTTCTGAACATTCAGCTGGAAGTAAAGGATTTCACGTGTTCTTCGTTAAGAAGCAAAATTAGTGAGCTAACCTTTGAGCTAGATAAACTTTGTAATGAACTTCAAGCCCAAGAGGAAGAGAAAAGTATGATTGGAACCAAGAAGGCAGCATTCGAAGAAACATATACAAGGGATGTCGCTAGCGTAGCATCCATTGACCAGAAAAAGAAGACCCTTGAAGATAGTTTCCTACGAGTGATCAATGACGAGTGATCCTGATAAAGTCATGAATTTCTGATCCTTTTTTTAGACCATATTGTATGAATTTTGACTTGTTATTTTTTTATTTGGATGAACTTTTCTTTTTCAAGTTTCTTGTCTTTTTTTTTACTACAGCAATTGATAAACAAATTGAATGGATTTATTAGTTGTGACTGAACTTGAATTTATAATTTATTCAAGCTACCTACGTACCCAAACAGGATCAAATCGAACGTAGCTCATTACAAGAACACAATTTTTTGAACATTGTTGTTTAAACATTTCTCTGCTTCTAAACCAAGGATAAGGGCTTGATATTCTGCCATATTGTTTGAACATTTCTCTGCTAAGGTAAAAGACCTGGGCATGACAAGATCATAGGGAGTGACTAAGACTACTCCTGCTCTGGCACCATAACTTCGGGCTGCCTCGTCGAAGTATAGTCTCCATGATGGTATGGCTTCAGTGAATAGAACTTATTCATCGGGAAAGTCTTCTTGAAGTTCCCATTTAACTGGAATTGGGTGGTCAGCTAGGAAATCTGCCAAAGCTTGTTCTTTAATGGCCTTTTGTGGAATGAATTTGATATCGAACTCAGACAATAGTAGTGCCCATTTTCCAATCCTGCCAGAGAGAATTGGCCTAGACATTATGTACTTCAATGGATCAATCTTCGAAATGAGATTGATCGTGTGTAATAGCATATAATGTCTTAAATTTTTAGCTGCAAAGATTAATGCAATGCACATTTTTTCAATAGGTGAATACTTCATTTCAACACCTACCAGTGTCCGACTTAAGTAATATCTTTGAAACGTAGATAACTATTTCCTTGATTTTTAAACTGAACAATTTTGTGCATGTCAGGGCACACTTTATCATCAGAACTTGTTCCAGCCATGCCTGCACAAAAACAGAGAGAGGGTAGTAAACCTCTCAAATTGGTTTATTGTCTAAAATCCCGAGTCTCCCAAATATGTAAGCAACCTCTATAAAAAATACCTTAGACGATGGAAGGAACCAGTCATTGGTCCTTAACACAAAGTGTCTTGGACAATGGAAGGAACAGGTCCTTGGTCCTCAACACAAAGTGTCTTGGATAGTTGAAGGAGCCAGTCCTTGGTCCTCAACACAAAGATCGAGCCAGTCCTTGATCATCAACACAAAGTGCCTTGAACGGTTGAAGGAGCTAGTCTTTGGTCTTTAGTACAAAGTGCCTTCGACGATGGAAGGAGTAGGTCCTTGGTACTCAACAAAAAGTGCATTAGATAGTGAAAAGTGATAGTCTTTAGTCCTCAATGTGTATGAAAGTTTGTAATTTGAGTTTGTTTATAAGCATATATTTCTTCTGGAACTCATAGAATAATTGCAACATAAAAAAAATAAAAATAAAAAATTTAACCTCTACACGAAGAAAATTTTGAACCTCAAAATCCTTAATTCGCTCCAAAGAATTGAATCCTTACATAAAAAAATGCAAACTATTAGTTTCAACTTTGTTCAAAAAAAAATAAAAATAACAGTAATTAAAAAAGAAGAGAGGAGAGAGAGGTAAAAAAAAAAAAAAAAATAGAACAAGAACAAAATGAAAGGGAAATGGGGAAGACGAGAAAACCAAGGAAAAAAATTACAAATGTTTTTGCGAATCGCAGAAACTGAGGGAAGCAATTCAATTGGAATTAATAACAATTCCACCAATTCCAATTGGATTATTGGAATCTATTGGAACCAATTCCAGGACACAGAAACCAAGAGGATTTTTTAATTAAAAAAAATTGAAAAATTTCTGCCATTGTCAGAGTCAATCTCAGTTTCTTGATTGCCAGCGGAAACCAAGAAAGAAACAAATAAATAAATAAAAATTGAAAAGAGAAAAAAAAGTGGGGGAGAGAAAGAGAATTAAAAAAAAGAAGAATTGTTTACATCTGTTTGCAAGATTTAACAGACTTGTTTCAAAGTCTCATAATTCATTTGCATAAATAGGCGGGTAACGAACTTCACTTAAACCCAATTTACCACGAAATATAAAAAATCTGCTTAAATCAAATTTGTTATGGGTCTATAAAATAAATAATTAATTAAAATTCGACCAAAAAAATTCTTATTCTCAAATTTGAAGGATAAAATTTTTATCAAATTCATATCTTATTCTCAAAATTTCCGTCTGTATTAATTTACTAACGAGAAATTTGAGTTCAAATCAAATCCTAAATTAAAAAATAAAATAAAAGAAAATTAAGAAATTCAAAAAATCAAGATTTATTAATTTATTTATTTCATAATAAATAAATAAATCTTGAGGGGGCAATTGTTGACATAAAAATAAAAATAAATGAATAAATAAGTAAATAAAATAAAATGGATTGGGTCGATTTAAATCATTAGCCCAATTAAATTTTAAGATTAAATTTTAAGTCTATTAAAGTTCATCAAAACCCAAAAGCATACCACATTTTAAATAAATAAACAAACAAATAAATAAAATTATAATTACTCAATTATCACGTTTAATTAAATATAATTGAGTAATTATCAAAATTAGTTTGAATCCTCCCCAATAAATAAGACCAATGGTCCACAAGACGGGACAAAAAGAAAGCAAGCAAGAAAAAAAGCAGAGAACGCCACGAAGTGCTGAAAAAATTCCAAGACCAGAAGAAGGGAAGAATTCTTCTCAAATCCAAATTCGGTGAACTCGAAGAAGATTAAAATCTTATTCGAATCAAACAGGTTCATGCCAAGTTCAAGGAGATCAAAGTCTTCTTCAAATCAAATCAAATTCAAGTCCAAGTCTAAGCCCCGAAGTTCAAGTTCCAAACAAGTCAAGTCTCGATAAATCAAATTTTCAACAAATTCTTGAAGACCAGGATTCAAGCCGCATAGCCCCCTCATCTTCAAATATTCAGATCATTAATCCGAGGATTTTGCAATTACAAGAAGGTCAACATTGCTTGTATTTATCAAAATACAATTTGTAACGATTTCTGTATTTTAATACACGAGATTTCGTCGTACAAATTTCTTGGCATAGTGTTTTGTTGAACGTCTCTGCTAATCCATTAGCTACCGTATTGTACATGGACGAGTTATACTATTTGAACCCAAACTTAGCACATAAATTGTTTACGTGGCTATTGCCGAATGGTTTTCCATTATCAGTTATGATATGCTGGGGAATACCAAATCGATAAATGATTTGGATACGAACGAAATTTGCAACATTTTCTTTCTTTACTTCCCTCCATGGTACGGCTTCGGCCCACTTGGAAAAGTAGTTGGTCCCGGAGAGGATGTATGCATGCCCTGCTGAAGACTTTGGAGTTATAGGTCCAATTACATCAAGACCCCATACATCAAACGGCCATGAAGCTACTGTCAGATGTAATGGTTCCGGAGGTTGATGGATGAAATTGGCATGGACTTGGCAATCTTTACATTTTCTTGCATAATCCATGGAGTCTCGTACCATAGTTGGCCAGTAATAGCCCATCCTTTTTATTTGAAAATGGAGTTTAGGTCCAGACTAATGGCTTCTTCCACGACTTGTGTTGCTTTGTCATCACTTCGGCATCGAATGAAAACTCCATCAAATGATCATCGATAAAGTGTTCTCTTATAAAAGATAAAGTGAGAGGCACGCCTCTTGATTATAGTTTTTCGCCATGGATTATCTGATAGCTTTTGATGTTGAAGGAAATCGATTATCGGCTGTCTCCAATCCTCTCTTTCCTCATTTTCGAGTACTTCGACACTATTATTTTCTTCCAAATTACTGGGTAGCAACAATGGAAACACCCATCTTTGAGCAATTGATATGGAATGTGAGAAATCTTCATTTGACCTTGCTAAAATAGCAGCCATATTAGCTAAGGCATCAGCTTCCCTGTTTTCACTTCTCGGGACGAATTTAATTTTTACTGAATCAAATCGTCTCATAAGCATTGATGCATATTCATAATATGGTTTCATGTCTGAATTTCGAACTTCATTCTCAGCTAAAAGTTGGTTGATTATCAATTTAGAATCTCCAAAGACTTTCAGCTGGTGGATATCCATATCTAACGCTGCTTCTAAACCAAGGATAAGGGCTTGATATTCCGCTACGTTGTTTGAACATTTCTCTGCTAAGGCAAAAGAGCTGGGCATGACAAGATCATAGGGAGTGACTAAGACTACTCCTGCTCCGGCACCATAACTTCGGGCTGCCCTATCGAAGTATAGCCTCCATGATGGTATGGCTTCAGTGAATGGAACATCTTCATCGGGAAGATCTTCTTGAAGTTCCCATTCCGCTGGAATTGGGTGGTCAGCTAGGAAATCTGCCAAAGCTTGTCCTTTAATTGCCTTTTGTGGAATGAATTTGATATCGAACTCAGACAATAGTAGTGCCCATTTTCCAATCCTGCCAGAGAGAATTGGCCTAGACATTATGTACTTCAATGGATCAATCTTCGAAATGAGATTGATTGTGTGTGATAGCATATACTGTCTCAACTTTTTAGCTGCAAAGATTAATGCAAGGCACATTTTTTCAATAGGTGAATACTTCATTTCAGTGCCTACCAATGTCCAGCTTAAGTAATAGAGTGTATTCTCTTTTCCTTCATCGTTGACTTGGACAAAAAAGTACTCCTAGAGAATATTCTTGTGCTGCAATGAGTTAATGGCTTTTCTAGGACTAGAGCTGTGAGTATCAGTGGATGTGACAAATATTATTTAATGCTTTGGAAGGCATTTTGACAAGTGTCGTCCTGCTCAAATGGTACATCTTTCTTCACTAATTTGTTAAATGGATGACATCGTCAGCCAAGTTAGAGATAAATCTTCAAATGTATGCAAGTTTTCCTTGATGACTTTTCAACTCATGTATATTTCTTGGCTCTGGCATGTTGATTATGACATAAATTTTTGATTGATCTATTTCAATACCCTAGTGTCGAACGACGAAGCTGAGAGATTTTCCAGAGGTGATGCCAAATGCGCATTTCATCGTATTCATCTTCAGTTGATATCTTCGAAGTCTTTTAAAAATATCCCTAAATCTTATAAATGATCGTCACGTCTTTTGGCTTTGACAAGAAGATCATCCACATAACATTTCACGTTCTTATGCAGCATGTCATAAAAAATCATTTGCATTGACCTATGGTAGGTTGCCCCCGCATTTTTCAATATAAAAGGCATAACTTTATAACAATATATGTTTTTAGGGGTACGAAATGATGTGAGCTCCTCATCTTTCGGGTTTATTCGTATCTGGTTGTATCCGGAGAATCCGTCCAAGAAAGATAAGACTTCATATTTGGTAGTTGCATCCACCATCAACTTTGTCATCAGAAGTGGAAAATCATATTTCAGACATGCTTAACTCAAATCTCGAAAGTCAACGCAACTTCTTAATTGCACGTTCTTCTTTTTAACAGGGACAATATTCATGATCCATGTTGGGTATTTCACTTCGCGTATGAATTCAGTTTCAATAAGTTTGTGGACTTCCACTTCAATTTGAGGGATCAGTTCTGGTTGAAATCTTCTTTGAGGTTGTTTGACTGGTCGAACTCCATGTCTTACAGGGAGATGATGTACTGCAACCTTAGGGTCTAACCCCGGCATCTCCTTGTAAGACCACGCAAATACGTCTTTGTAGTCCTAATGTACTCGGATTCCTCTTTTTGACTGAGGAGGGCACTAACAAATACTGGTCTCGGGTCTTCTTCGATCCCCAAGTTCAATTGTTTCAAGTCATCCATAGTAGCTTGCCCACCTTCTTCAAATATAGGTGGAGCTGGTTTAGGTTCATCTGTTATGACAGAACTTTCGGACTCAGAGTATGAATCAGGAGCTTCCTCAAAGGCTATGTGATTGACAGAAACTTTATCCTCGTCTTCATTACCCTTTAGGGACGAGTGAAGTTTTTTATGCCACCGTCTTCTTCTTGACCGTTGTAGTTTCGGACTCGGATTGGAAGTTTTGATTCCAAGTCGAGAAAATGCAGATTGTCTTTGGAATGACATTTGGGAAGCTTGTACATTCCTATCAATTTGGGTAGAAGAAGAAGAATCTTCATTTAATCTTTAAAAGACAGAAACTTTACCTTTTACATCGACCACTGGAGAGGGTTCTCCTTTTAACCTTATAAACACCGAAACTCTAGCATTCTCATTGTCAATTCGATCGAACACTGAAGGTCTCGGTTGTTTTGGTTTCTCTTCTACAACTTCATAAATTTGAACCATGATGAGGTTTGAGGAAACCTTCTTGACCTTAATCTTCCTTGGTAGATTAGGATCATATCCCAAATCATACTTGGGTCGAGACACCAGGGCTCCATCTGCATTAGAAGGGACACACCCACCTGAAAGGACAGTGTCAAGATCACCTAATTTACGAGGCTCTCCTTTTTTGAACCCGGCATTTTCAAATGACTTTTTGATTTGAGGATTGTAACATCCTTTAAAAGTCTGTTTTAATTTAGGAGCTCCTTCTTATTTGGATGAGCTAGAAATATAAAGCTTTGATATGTCTGGAACGGATGTCGAAGCCTCTGATATAGGTTTATGTTCCTCTCAGACCGCCATGAGTTGATAGAGTAGAAACAATTTTGGAATACTAGGTATTGGAAGAGTTAACTCTTTTTTCAATACCTCAAAATTCGATTGATTCTATTTGAGATTTTTTGCTTTTTGAGAATCCTTCGGATGTAAATTTTGACTTGCCTTTGATAAATTGATGAGATTGAACAGCACTAGACGTATCATGATCATTTGTATCTTCTTTGATTTTGAATCCAGACATTGTCAACCCAGCAGAATTGCACTCTTCATCTTCTATGTAGAATTTGGCGTCAGTAAAATGGGATTCTTCTTCAAGGAATGGTTTAGACTCAACTACCACACGTTTAACTTCTCCATCTCGGCTATATTTGAAGCATTGGTGTCAGGTGGAAGGTACCACTCCAGTTTTATATAGCAAAACACGTCCAAGGAGTAACTCATATAATGTTTTAGCATCAATAACATGGAAGAGAGCTGAGGAGATTAACTCTCCTATTTGTGGCTTCAAGCGAATCATGCCAATGGCTCGCTGACCTTTCTGATTGAATCCTTGAATCATGATTTTGCTTCTGGACAGATCACCAACATTAATTCCAACCTTTTTCATTTTTTTTGTCCAACATAATATTCACAGCAGATCCACAATCGATCATTACACGATTTATCTTGTATCCTCCAATATAACCGCTGACATACAGTGGCCTATTATGTGGACGAGAACCAAATTGTTAATCTTCATCGTCGAATGTTGTGGCGGCCATACAGTCCTGAGGAGTTGCGGATCAATATGTTTTAGAACTTTGCTTTCGTATTCTTCTGAATCCATTAAAGCTGTGATCAAAGCCATTCGATCATAGAAAGGAAGATTGAGAGACACTGCTAGACTCGTGTTGGCAGGAATATTGTTAAGCCATGAGAGAGTTTTCTTCTGTTTTGAAGCCTGCCTTGATGCATTCTTCATTTTATTTTTCCCCTCTACACTGCTTACATTGGAGGTGAGATATTCTTTATCAAAGAAACCTTTGGGGAAATAATCACCCAGGGTTGGTAGTCTAGGACGAATGCGTGGAGCTGCTTCTTTCCCAATTGACTTAGTAGGTATTCTTGGCTTGGCTTCAGGGTTTTTTCCTCGGTTGTTCTTTGGTCTTGATTTCTTGTCACAAACATTAGAACTTGGAGTTGTGGAGCCTTTCGATGACGTCTTTTCACAAATGTCCATGCCCCCTGATCTTTTTCTAATGTTTCCTCTTTATTGGGTTGAATTTTTGTTCCCAATCCCTCCAGCTCTGTTCCTGCAAGAGGTGCAGAATGTAATATTTTACCTATTTTGTTTGGCATTCGATATTTCTCTTTCTTCTTTATGAAGGTGGACCAGCCGTTACCGATCTCGTCTTCAGATTCTAAGTCAGAATCCCAAACATCCAAGTCACCTGTCATAATTTCATAAAAGGTTGGACGATTGGGTGCATTTGGTCTATCCATCCCTGGATAGACGTAACTGATAGTGATTTCTCCATTTACCTCAAACTTCACTGGGATGGCTCCTTTCGGAAGTTGAGGTCCAAACTCCTTAACTGAGGATTTACAGGCATCGCGTACACCAAAAAATGTTTGTTTTTTCTCTACAATGGAAATTGGATCAAATGATCCAAACGAAACTATCGAGCAGACGGTTGTGGATTCTCTCCGATTTCAAGTTTGATTTTATTTTCTTTGTCTAGACGAGCAATGAGATCTTTCAAGATGAAGCATTTTTCCACTGGGTGGCTAATGATTTTGTGAAATTTACAGTATTTAGGATGATAGATCTTACCAGCTTCCTCGTGTCTTTTTGGTACTGGAAGTTTGATTATCTTCTGTTCAAGGAGCTGATCTTGAATTTCAAAAATTTCAGAATCTGAGAATGGGTACTCCTTTCCTTCAAGTTCTTTTAGAGTCACATGACCTCTACTTTGGACTTGTCATCTGTTAGGTCTGAATTCTGGCTTTGATTTTGGGTTAGAGCTTGACCCGTGGAAGGCTATCTTTGCAGAAGCAATAGAAATCGCCATAGCTTCTTTGGACTTACTTGCCTTGGCGTCTTTCCTTATCTCCTTTTTAGGATCTTTCTTGTCATGTGGATCACTTGGTAAGTAACTCCCATGCCTTGCAATTTGGAGCTCCAAGTCATGAGCACATGTCGCCAATTCTTCGAATGAGTGAGGCATGTTTGCTTGGAGATTATAGAGTAATCCCCAATGCATGCCTTTTATACACATATCGATGGAAGATGCTTCGCTTATTCGTTCTTTGCAATTAAGCACGAGCTTCCTCCAGCGTTCAATGTACTCCAAATATTAAAAATATGGTTCATGAAGTACTACAAGTGTCTGGAAAAATGAGATTTCAATAAATTATAGGTTATCTCATAAATTATGAGAATGAAATAATGTTATATAAGCAATATTTTTGCCTTTAATGTGACTCTTGATATTATGCAAAATGAGGATCTCGAACCACAGTCAGTTAAAGACTATCAAAATAGAAATGATTGATCAAAATGAAAAAAAGTCATACAGGCAAAATCGTATTCTTATAAAGAAACGAAAAGTGTTTGGACATATAATATGAACATTTGAAAATGTAATCTTAGTAGGATATAAATGGGTTTTTGTATGAAAAAAGAAACAAAAATAATGAAATTACTAAATGTAAAACTCGACTCGTAGCTCAAGGTTTCTCATGAAGACTATAAGTTGATTATGAAGAAAGATATTCTCCCGTATTGATCATCATTAATTTTAGATTCCTAATTAGTTTAACTGTGTCACAATGATATATGCTCGAGAACCATGTTCTTAATTAAACTGTAAAAATCATTATATGGATTGAAACAATTTGGACGCACATGATATAATCGCTTAAACGAATATTTGTTGAAAAATGGTTATAAAAATGACGATGTCTCCCCATACGTTTTCATAGGGAAAACCAATATTAAATTTGCAATTGTAGTAG